TTAATTTTAACACCAGAGAGGATTCAACAAGTGGCAAAAGCAGGGCAAATGTTTGCAAATACTCATCATGCCTTATCTATGAAGATGGGGACGAATATGTTTCCATACATCAACTTGGAAACAAAAGCGGCATCCCAGCAGTCTCCAATCTATGATCTATTATTTGAATCAAATTTCATGGAGAAAGTGAAGAACTGTCAGTCACTGAAGAAATTAGGACAATAAATGAAGAGAAACATGTTCAAAAAAGGTGGAGTAAAAACTAAAAAGACTACAGAAAACTACAGGAGCAGATTCAAAAAACCAAAATGAAAACAGAGAAAAGGGAGGAAGAAGGATATGCAGCAGCAAGCAGGCGCACCGGAACTACAACCAAGCAAGGACATCGAGCAGATATCATCAGACTCAACCCCGACGCCAGAAGAGGGAATACAGGGAGAAGTATTAGTTCAGGTAAATGACACGCAATGTTATGCTGGTCGTTTGAAATATCTTCATGCAAATTGGTCAGAATTCACTGACAATAATATAATTCAAGACTGACTACTAAGCTTCAGTATACCATTTACCTCAACTCCATATCAATATTGTATTTCCCTGTTTTCAATATTGAGAAATCCGACATTCGAAATACCTACATGCAATTGAAGGTTTAATTAAAAAAGGTGCTATTGAACGTTGTGTTCATACTCCAGGTGAATTTTTGTCATCGTACTTCCTCACAAAAAAAAAGGAAAAAGAAAGCGAAAACAAAGATTCATTTTGAATCTCAAAAAGTTAAACGAGTATATACTAGCACCACATTTCAAAATGGATAATTAATCCTGTTATGAAGCTCTTGACACATGAGTGCTTCATGGGAACTATCGATCTAAAAGATGCATATTTCTTATACCAGTTGCACTAGAAGATAGAAAATATTTGAGATTTCAATTTGATGACAACTTATTTGAATTCACAAGCCTACTCTTCGGCCTTAACATTGGTCCGTATATTTTCACAAAATCAATGAAAACTTTCGGAAAATATATGAGACTCAGAGGTTGAACATCGATTACCCACTTGGGTGACACACTCATTATGGAAAATACATTTTCTAGGTGTCAATATTTCGTTAATAAAGCAGAAAAAGTTCTCTCAATTCTGGGTTTCAATATTCATATTCAATTCGAAAAATATGACCATCAGTTTGCCACAAGAAAAAATAACGGATGTTATAATTATTATGTCTGAGATCGATCGCAGAAAAACATAGGTGCAAAATCAGAACCTTTGCATCTTTGGTGGGGAAATTGATATCAGTTTCCCCTACAATAAGATGGCTGGCTCTATTCAAAAAAGTTCGAAATTGAGAACATTCAAGTACTCAGGCATAATCAGGGAAACAGGTGAAATTGAGTGGTGGTTGTTTAATATCACCAAGGAAGGAAAAGAAGTGAAGGCAAAAACCATTTTCCCTTGAAATATTTTCAGATGCCTCAACCACTGGCTGGGGAGGGATTTGTGATGAGAAAGTAGCTAGAGGGTTTTTTAGAGCTTCGAAGAGAGGAGAAAACATATAAACTGTTTGAAAATACAAGCAGTATTCAGAGCTCTCAAAAGTTCTCAAAAAATCTCTGAACCGTAATATTCTTATAAGAATCGATGATGTCACAGCCGTGGCATGCATCAATAAAATGGGGAGCACTCGTTTCGGACACCTTGATGAAATTTCAAGAGATCTGTGGCTCTGGTGTGAGAATAAGAATATCACAATTTTTGCTTCATATTTCAGTTCATTGGATAACGTAGATGCGGTCAAACTTTCAAGGTACACTTCCGTGGATACAGAATACGAATGGAATGCTCAAGTATTTCAGCAAGTCGTTGAAAGACTTGGTGTACCTCAAATAGATTTGTTCGCATCATCTCTCAACAAGAAGGTGAGAGATTCGTTTCTTGGGGTCCGGATCAAGGATCAATTGCAACAGATGCATTCAAAATCAGTTGGAGTAATCTAAATTTTAATACATTACCCCCATTTTCTGTTGTCCACAAAATGCTACAAAAAATTGTAATCGATGAGGCAACTGGTATTATCGTTGTTCCTTCGTGGCCATCGCAACCCTGGTACTCAACCTTCTGCGAAGTTTTAGTTGAGAAATCATCAAAATTTTTTCCTCAAAAACGATTATTGCTATCTCATTCTAGGGAAGCTCATCTTCTCTACGGCTCCCTTTCCCTGGAGGCAGCGAAATTATCAAGGAAATGGAAAAGTACTCCTGTGTTCTCAAAAAATGGTGGGATTTTGGTATTTTGAGGGTTTTGAGCCATGTACTTATAGTATGGATAATATTTTGAAATCCTCTTCAAAGCTGGTCAGAGAAAATATGTCCCATTCAACTTTGAACACATCGAGATCTGTCACTATTATTTGAAATCAAATCAAATGATGAAATAGTTCACAACAGATTTCTAAAGGAAGCTCATAATCTAAATCCCTCTCTACCAAAATATTTTCAGTCATCCTCCTATAGTGTTGGAGAGACTGAGCAAGTTATTTCTTCTAGAATAAATTACATAGAAAGAACTAACTAAAAAAAAAAAAAAATATTGTGACTTTACTCGCATTAGTTTCAGCACACAGAGTTCAAACATTGTCATTAATTACTTCAAATAATATAGTGAGAAGGAATAATTGAATAGAAATAAATATTAGTGAAAGAAAACAAAACGGGTAGAAATAGATTGCAACCATTACTTATTTTCCCATACATAGGGAGAAACCTGAGTTATGTTTAGCATCTACTTTCGAAGATTATAAATCAATAACAAGTTCAATAAGACCCAAGAATGTCGAAACTTCAATATTGAGCCATGAGAAACCTGACAAAGCAGCAACGACACAGAGATGTAACGACACAATCCATCTGTCATTGGATCAAAGAGATTTTGGTAGAAAGTGGAATTGACACAACGATTTTCACTGCGCACAGTGTCAGACATTCCTCCTCATCAGCTGCGCACAGAGCAGGTCTAAGTTTAGAGATTATTAAGAAAGACAGAAGGTTGGACTGAGTCGTCTTCAGTATTCAACAAATCTTATAATAAACCTTTTGCCCTGAATCCTGAAGAATATGCAACCATAATTATAGAAGATTCAAATCGCAAATAAGATATAGTTGATTTATATTGTTTGTTATCTTGTTCACTGAATTTGGTTTATAGCGCACTTTATTGTCGAGGTCTCTAAACAGCTATCAACAACCAAAGGAGGACGTAGATGTGAAGAATAATTGTAAGATTGATTGACTTACCTAAGGAAGATCAATCTCAATTATTCGAACATCGTAGTCCTCCTTTGGTGCAACCCACCCACCCTTGGTCCCATATATAAAGTGCTTCACTAGATGGGCACAAAATACAGACTGAATTGTGAATCAGCACCGGCCGTATTAGTCAGGTGAGGCGAGAAGGACTGGGACAAAAAATTTCCTATATCTTTCAAGATGTGTACACCGAGGCACAAAATAAAGGTATCTATCAACTACCAAAGGAGGACTACGATGTTCGAATAATTGAGATTGATCTTCCTTAGGTAAGTCAATCAATCTTACAATTCGCAATTTTTCGAAATCAAATCACAGAATTGAACTGACAGAAGTGACATCAGATATTTGATTACTTCAAGAGAATGATAAAGATGCCTATAAAACGCAGGTGTCCCTACTATTAAAAACTTGAAATTTTAAGTCGATCATTTTCAGATTTCGAAATAATGTAATATCTTCTCAATATTGATTCGTCCTTCCTTCTGTCACAGAAAAAAATAGTGTATTATACACGGGAAAAATATTAGATTTTAGCTCACGGTTTTTTGTCTCCCTCCGCTACGCGTCGGGAGACAACACAACCTGGAGCTAAAATCTACTACTTTTTTCCCTTGTATAATAAATAACTATTTTTTGTCAAGGAGTGCAACCAAGAAGTGCTCGTAGATATGATTTCAATATTAGGGGGATATAAGGAAAACTATTTTTTGGCAAGTCGAATTTATACACCACGTTATCCCAGACAAAAGGAGCCTGCAGAACTTAGTGGATAGGTTTGTACGAACCGGAAATGCAAAATATACAAAACCAGTCAGAGATAGACCGGTTCGAAACGAAGAAAATCAATTGACTGTGCTGTTATCTGTTACGGAAAATCCTTCCATCAGCCAGCAAGCAATCGCAGATGCCCTGGACGTGAACGAAAAAACTGTTCAACGAATTTCAAAAGACAACCGTTTTCATGTCTATCATATTCAGTTCCATCAAGAACTCTTTGGACATGATTTTGAGAAACGTATCTGGATTTTTTGCAAAACCTACTGTCAAACTTATGTGAAAATCTACCAATAGCTGTGAGGAATGCAATGTGGCTACAATATGATAGAGCCCCAGCACCAATATTGTTTTGTGAAACTAAAACATAGACTTTTGTCACTTCTTCTCAATTCCAATTGAAATCTAGTATTGCTATGATCATAACAGCAATTATGACAAGTCGTTAAACGCACTAGTAGTAGAAGTAGAAGTAGAAGTAGAAAGGTGAACTTGTCAAAAAAACTTGATAAATATCAAAATAGACTAGTACAAATGGCACAACGATGGCTTGAATGGTTTAAGAGATGTGAGCATTTGGAATAGGTCAGAATATAACTGGTCACCTGGTATCAAGAAACCACTTATATCGCATAATGAGTTATCACGACTGAAACAAGCGATGTCCTGAATTATAACCAGAAAGCTTATTTCGAGTTACCTATACGCCGGGCGATGAAGTTGAGTCCGCGGGCGGTGAAGTGCCACTTCACGTCCGCAAAATTGGGCGGTAAAGTGCAACTATACGTCCAGTCGTGCAAAAATAATATTATTATCACGGGACCTTATACCCTCTGGCTGACACCACGGAATATAATCCTTGTCTCTGGGTGATAATAACCTTACTGTATAAATAACAATTTCAGTTATCCTCACCTTGAGCTTGTGAACCTCCCTCTGTAGCCTCATCACCTGCGCCTCCTTAGCTCCCACCTGCTTCCTCAGCTCGAACACCTCCGCCTGCACAGCCTCATACTTTCCCTCGACCTCAGCAACGTCGTTCTTCAGCTTCCTCACCAAATTCCTCCAGTACTCGTTCTTCTCCGGCTCCCCCGAGTTCCTCCTGATCCTCTGGATGGTGCCAGCATCCAGCGAACACCCTGAGTGCTTCTTCGTGGGCCCGAACCCGTTCCCCATTTGAGGAATGATGCCGAAGTCTTGGAGGAATTTTTGCCTAGTTGGGGAGGAGTTTTGATCATCTGCAGGGGAACTGTGGTCAAGGCTCAGTCGCTCTTTTAGCTCCGGGTGCAGTATAAGAGGCAGCGACTTGCTCTGGTAATCCTTTGGTAGCTCCACAGGGATAGGAAAATTTATCTCTGGATGGTCCAAGTAAATATTGGCTCTGATGATGTTAGAGCTTCTAGAGCAGGACTTAGGACAAAGGCAGACCTGCGAGACTCTTCTGTGGTGATTGATATCAGGGCTTGAAAACCTCTTGGTGCTTTGGTACGTGTACTGATCGCTGGGTGTTGTAGGGTTGGACTTCGTTTGTAGTCTCTGCTCTTCGGAGAACGAGTGAGAATCTTTGCTGTTTCCGTAGTTGCAGGCACATTTTGCGTAGAGACTGCCGCACGTGTGGGATTTTTTGAATAGGCCGTGGTTATTTGCGTGTTTTGGAGGAGGGGTTTGGTCTCGCGAGTGCTCCTTGGGCGCATGGACTAACATCTTGATTTGTTGGGGGTACTGAGAGTTCGCTGATGGTGTGGGATTATTTATAGGTGCCGTTCATTTCATCCTGTAAATTATAGATCGATGTTAGGTATACAGGGTGGTGTATCTTAGAGAATTAAGGCAGCATCAAAATATACAGATATTTGAGTTAGTCTATGATTCACAAGAACCTATTCCTGGATTGAGGAGGAATATTCTCAGATATAATATTATGAACATAAAAGAATGCATATACAGGGTGTTGCGAAATTCGATCGACAACGCCTGACAGGTGATAGCCCGCTCTCCTGATTTCACATTCACTGAGATAGGGTCTTCAAGTGTTCAGTTCTCGAAATACAGGACGTAGAGTTGAGAAATAAAGATAGTCGTTTCGCAATATCTCAAGAATACTTGAATATAATGCATTCAAATTCGGTATATGGTTTCATCTCTGAATGGGTCATTTTTCGACCAGGAAGCCATTCCGGACATTTTATCTAGTGGTGCTATACAGGGGGTTGTGGTAATTTTTCCTCCCATATTCTATACACCACTGATTGAATTTCGATTAGTTACAATTCCTCGAATTTGTTCAATCTTGCTCGAGAGATGCATCACCTTCAAATCACATCCTGTCAAATGGAATGTTATGTCCTTCACATTGAAGTCGGACCCTATCGTTTTTAATTACTCAATTGGTGACATTCCTCTTCTGAGACCTATAAAATTCAAAGATCTTGGCGTTATATTTGATCAATCTATATCGTTTGATGATCATATTGACTCAATCCTGAAATCCGCATTTCGAGCATACGGGTTCATGGTACGCAACAGTCGTGATTTTGAAGAGATAGATACTCTCAAGAAATTGTACTACTGTTTTATACGTTCGAAGATTGAATATGCATCGGTTGTGTGAAGCCCATACTATCGGAACAATACTGATGTCATGCGGTACATACCCTCCAATTGGTACACCTCATGGAGAGCTTCTTGAAACTTTCCAATTCGTAACCCTGCACGTAAGAAGACAATAATTCTCTATCCTGATCCTTTATAACGTTGTAAACAATCTAATTGACTGTGCAGATTTGTTGGAAAAATTGAACTTTATTATCCCGAGATTATCTTCCAGAAATTGTGATACGTTCTACTTAGAGTTTCCTCGAACCAACATATATAAAAATTCACCTTTGTATAAGATGCGTAATACATATAACTTGGTAGCTAGGAATCTAGATCTGTTCAGCTGTGGAATAACTCATGTCAAAACTTTTTATCTTTTTTCTCCTTCATCAGTGAATAACTAGATACTTAGTCAGGATATTCTCATTTTGTCATATTGTTTCGTCTATCCATTATTCTTATGTAATATGCAATGCATGTTTTTGTTTTGTCCTTTTTTTCCTGTTCTGTAAATGGGGCAACCTGTTGAACAGTGTAAGAAATAAATAAATGAATAAATAAATAAGAAAATTAATAAACTGAGCTGAAATGAGCAGTCTTTGAGATATTCGACCCAAAATAGAAGATTGCATAGTAATATTTGGGCAGGAAGAAAATCTTACAGTCGACTCCACCAAAACTATACTTTATTTAAATTGGAAATCGGGACATGTTTCGAAGCTTTAAAGCTTCATCATCAGCAATATTGTTACAGGAAGTACTGTTCTGAGGAAAGAGTGCACCCTTTGCCTCGCTTTCCTGGTTCAATGTCCAGCAATGTTGGAATTCTTTTGATACCGCGTGACCAATTATATTCTGACCCATTTCAACTGCTCATCTCTGTGAAACTATTCAAATTATCGTTGTGCGGTTCGGACTTCTTTATTTTGATATTCTTCAAGGTTTTTGACTGGTTCACCTTTCCACCTGAACTTCCGGTTCTACCGGAAACAAACATGCCATTATTCAGGTATAGGGCAACTTTGATAACATTGCATAATCTCATTAAACCATTCCACAAGCAGTAGTTGTTTCAGAGAGTTAGAACTCTGATAGTTTTCTAGCAGAACATAACTCGTAATACATTGTTAGATAGAGAAAACACCAGTCTTCCTGAATGAGCAAAAATATACAGGGTGATTCAATGAAATAAAAAAGTTGCTCCATACCTGGATTATCGCTTGTTTGTTTCCGGTAGAACCGGAAGTTTCAGTGAGAAGATGAACACGTCAAAAAACTTGAACAACATCAAAATAGACTAGTCCAAACCGCACAACGATAACTTGAATGGTTTCAGAGATATGAGCATTTGAAATGGGTCAGAATATAACTGGTCACCCAGTATAAAAGATTATAAGATTTTTTAGATGATTTTTATGCTAATTTTTTGACGAAGGTGATCCGCAGTTAATTGCGGTCCCTGTTTTGTTAAATGTTTTCACTTTTCAATTTGTAATAATATGTAAACCATAATTTCTGTTTTTAACATGTGAATTTTCCCCAGAACAGTACTTCCTGTAACAATATTGCTGATGATGAAGCTTTGAAGCTTCGAAACATGTCCCAATTTCCAATTTAAATAAAGTATAGTTTTGGTGGAGTTGACTGTAGGATTTTCTTCCTGCCCTATTATCTTCACTCCACTGCAAGATGGATCGACTCAGATGATAGTAATATTTCATTATTTTCAGTAGTAGAAAATTGCAACAATATTTTTCTGGTGTTGAGTAGATTAGATACTATTCAGATCCCATTCTGTAGCTGAACAGAAATGGTTATTGCACTCATAAACAAACATTTTTTTAAATTTTCTACTACTGAGAAAGATGCAGAACCATTATTCAAATTTATATTTCGGGTCAAATATCTCGATAACTGTTCATTTTAGCTCAGTTGGTGTTTATGCATTTTTTCAACATAATTGAACAATTAATTCGGAGAATTGAGAATCAACGGAATTTCACGTAGAGAATATGAGAGGAAAAGTTTTCACATTCCCCTTTAGCGCACCTCTGGATAAAATTATCTTTCTGGTCAAAAAATGAAACATTGAAAAATGAGACCATTTACCGAATTTGAATGCATTTATTCCAAATCTACTAGAGATATTGCGGAAAAACTATTTTTATTTCTTAACTTCGACGCCCTGTATCTCGAGAACTGAATACTTCGAGACCGTATGTCCTCATCTCAGTGATTATGAAATTAGGAGGGCTATCACCTGTCAAGCGTTGTCGGTCAAATTTCGCAACACCCTGTATAAAGTGTCATTCATAAAGTCGGTTTCATATGGGAAAAACTTTTATTAACGACTTATTTCGGAATTCGAGTTGGACGTTAAGTTTTTGGGGTCACGTGACTTTCGCTACATGTCAAAAGTGACATTTTTTCAAATTAATCGCTGAAAGTAGGCTTATTTGTTCGAATATCGAAAAAGTTTAATTGGAAAAGTTGTTTCTATTTCAATTTCACACATGCTTCTCGAATTTGATCTTTCTATTGCAACTTTTGGATTTTGATTTTTTTTAAGTTTTCAAAATTTCTGTAATATTTGAAGAATTGTTGATTCCACGAAACTACTTCATACCAGTAGCTTTTTCATGCTAGTTACTTTCAATTACTCATTATCACTGATTATGGACAGAAATATGATTTTCTTCAGAAAATGGTAATACCCGTTTTCAAATTCTGTTATGTTTGATGCAAAGTTGATAATTATATCGTCAAGCATTTACAAACGAAATTCATTTTTAAACTGATATTTTCAGTACTGAAAAAATGAATTTAAATGAATTTCGTTTCTGAATGCTCGACTCAAACATAACAGAATTTCATGTTATGTTTGCATCTAACATAACTGAATTTTGAAGCGGAGATTATCATTTACTGAAGAAAATCATATTTTTGTCAATAATTAGTGATAATTAGTAATTAAAAGTAAGTAAGCCACTGGTATGAAGTAGTTTTATCGAATTTACAATTTTTTTAATATTACAGAAATTTCGAAAATTTTTGAAAAATATCGAAAACTAAAAAATGTGATAGAAAGATAAAATCCGAGTCACATACATATGTAGAATTTGAATAGAAACAACTGAAATTTTTAGATATTCGAACAAATAAGCCTACTTTCAGCGATTAATTTGAAAAAATGTCACTTTTGACATGTAGCGAAAGTCACGTGACCCCGATTGTGTAGGTCATTTTTCATCATTTTCGAAGCGAAACTTTACGTATCTTCTGAACTAGAGAATTTGCATTCTCCTTCATATAAAGATATGTACATAATATCATTCTGAATATTCAACAGAAAACAACTACTTTCCATGCTATTTGCCACGTCAAACATTGGATTATATTTGTTGAACATCCAAAAAGGGAGTATGAAAAATGAAAATCCTCTGAAATTGAAAATTAACATTATCTCTCATATCGGATGAAATAATATGATGTATTATGATAAAAAATATAACTCACCAATATGTTTAGTATTCAAATGAAAATTGACATGTAGGTATATGAGAGGTATACTTGTATAAACTCTGATCTTGATGAGCTTGAAACTTCGAAAAAAAAAATCACATAAAGATTGCGAATTCTCAATGTATTTCTTTAATAACAAGGTGTTTTTGAAATAAGTGTACATATTCAGCATCAGCACATCAATATGATACAGTACAAGAAACATTTCCATGATATCAGATTTTTTTCTATTTCTTCTAATTAACAAAAAGTGTCATTCCAAAAATTGCACAAAATACGAGAAAAAATCGAGTACGTCACTTCAAAACAATCCGAATGATTGACTTCAGAAGTATCTGGAGATCGAAAAGACATTCTGAAAATTGAGATACTTTGATAAGTGAACATTCTCTATCCGTCTAAGATATTTTCATCGATACAGTGTTGCCACTTATATCAGAAACAATACTAGCAACTTCGTTATTGAATGAAGCATCCTGTATTTCATCGTATTCTTAGATTCTTCCTGAAGAGCTGATTTCATCAATGTATCACACTTGGGGTCTAGCAAGAATGATTACAGAAATATAGCGTGTTCAAAATCGATATTTTTCAATTTCAGGATTTTTTGTGTCGAAACTATTCATTATCGATCAAAACGGCTTGCATGTCCCT